TTATTCTTTTTTTTTTTTTTTTTTTTTTTTTTTTTTTTAAAGATCACAGTACTCCGAATCCTGAAACAGAAATTTCGTATCCAAATGATTATTAGCATTTCAAAAGTGTATCAAAAGATATATATATGAGAGGGTAATTACGAAAGCAACCCCCCTAGTAAAAAAAAAAAAAAGTCCCATGCAATTTTATTGAACGATTTATTCATTATACAAATTATTTTAATATAATTTTCTTTGTTCTTTTTTTTTTTATTGTTGCAAATTTTTCTACTTTTAATCCATTCGCCCTCCTAATTACCGGACACAATATTACATACGTATAAAAATTTATTCGTATCAGTAAAATGTTTAAAAACTTTCGCTGTTCTTTCCCCCCTCCCTCCCCCTCCTCCTATTTTTTTTTTTTTTTTTTTTTTTTTTTTACTTTAATAAATTATTTTCCTTCCTTTTTACCACATCCCCTCCCCCTCCATCTTCCACTCTTGTCTTACATTTATTTACAATATATTACATCGTACATATATACACGTATTTTTTAAAAATACGATGATATCATGTATCACGATTGATAAACGAAGAAAAAAAGAAAAATAGAAGAAAAAAAGAGAAATGAAAAAAAAAGAAGAAGAAAAATGTAATACCATTTAAACCTTAAAATTAGAATTATTACGTTTGGGTATACAATTTGTCATATTAATAATGTCGATTGCATAAACCATTTGTTCTTCGTGAATACGTTTAACGTGTTTATAAGTATCAGAAGTGTAACGTGATTTGTAAACGCAATATGGACATTTGTAGCGTGGTTCCTTGCCGTTACATGCAGTTAACATGTGCCTCTTCAGATGAACTTTCTTCGAATAACTGTTCGGACAATTCAGGCACTGAAACGGTTTCATTCTCTCTGGATAATATAAGTACCAGTCTGAAAAAGATTCAAATAGTTACTCATTATCTATAATCTCGAAATATTTTCTTCTGTATTTTGTGTTTTATTATTTCTTTTTTTTTTTCTTTTTTTTTTGTTTTTGCTTTTTATATTTTTCTTTTTTTTTTTCTTGCAAAAAGGACATATACAAATAAAAAGAGAGAGAGAGAGAGAGAGAGAGAGAGACAGTTATATAGATAGATAGAGAAAGAGAGAGAGAGAGACAGAGAAAGAAAGAGAGAGTAAGATAGAAAAAGAATTAACAATGTTTATGATATTTTTGTTCAATCGTGAGTTACGATATGAAATATCTTTTTTTTTTAACCAACAATCTGTGTTGTAATTTTTTAAATTACGAATAAATAAAGCGGACGCGTATAGATTGATA